CCTGTGGGATCCCTGATGTTCTCTCTTATGTCCTCCGCTCCACCCGCTGCCTGCCCAGCCTAGCTGGTGGGTTTCAAGGAGCTCACAGCCCAGCTGTGATACCTCCCCACCATTCCACATTGCAACCTCTTCTCTATGCCTCCTGCAGGGAACTGCATGAGTGAGTTCATGGGGCTCATCAAAGGCCACTACGAAGCAAAGGAGGAAGGCTTCCAGCCTGGAGGGGCCAGCTTGCACAGCATGATGACTCCTCATGGGCCGGATGCTGACTGTTTTGAGAAGGCAAGCAAAGCCAAGCTGGAGCCTGAGAGAGTTGCAGAAGGGACCATGGTAAGGACTCGAGGGAACCAGTAAGATTTTGAGTGCAGCACAGCATAGTGTGGCTGTGCTGCTCTTGAAGTACAGCCTAGCTTCTTGCTGGTGAGTTGGAAAAGTACTTGGACCAAACAGCTGCAGCATTCACCTCCTTTACCAGGAGCTCCCCTGGAGACATGTGGCGCCAGGTAGCTTTGATCATCTGCCCGCATAAACTGTTGCCTGAGCAGGAAGCTGGGAATTTTCATGCCAATTAATTTAATTTTTATCTTAGCCTATGGACAAAGAAGTGAAACCCCTCACTGTCCTCTTTTCTCCAACCTCTAAAATCTAATGATGATCAACAGACTTTAAACTAGAGCTTTTGGAACATCCTGGCTTTCCTGGGCATTTAGGGAGTCTAAAGTCACTCCTGAGACCTGGCATTGCGATGCCAGGAGCTTTCTCCCCCTGGGCAGATCAGGCTGGAAGCAGAACTTGGCAGTGTTGGATCATGTGTACAACTCGAGCTCGTGGTAGAGCAGAGCCACCTTGCCTGGATGAAAACTCTCACTCTCTTGCCCTAACCTACCTTCTCTTTTCCAACAGGCCTTCATGTTCGAATCATCCCTCAGTCTGGCCGTTACCAAATGGGGCCTCCAGACCTCCAACCGCCTGGATAAAAACTACTACAAGTGCTGGGAACCTCTGAAAAGCCATTTCAACCCTAAGCACAAGTAAAGAGAAATATTTGTTGCTTGTAATACATGAGTGAAGGCAGGGAAATCCAGCATACCTATGTGTGGTGGCACGGTCAACTTGGGCAACACAGAGTGCTCCAGAACAGCATTCCCAGCAGCCACGAAGCCATGAAAGTGATCATCCCTATGTAACTTGGGAAATGCAGTAAAAAACACCACTGTTCTTAGCTTTCAGCTATCAATTAAAGCTTTCCTGGTCACACGCTGGAGCTGAAGTACTTGCACGGCACTCTCACTCAGCATAGTTGGTGTGAATGCTGTACTTTGTGCGGACACGAGGGGACAGCCAGCCCCCGTTCACAGGGCCTGCTGAAAATAAGACCTGGTGTGTCTTTCACAGGGAGAAGCTAGGGATCAACAAAGCATTTTATACTGTCTGCAGGGGAAGAACTTTCCAAACAGGGCTGAAGGTTCTACCAGACCTAAGCCTTCTCCTGTTAGAGCAGGCTACTTCAACCTACTGATCTGTGGAGGGTTGCCAAGGAAAGACTTTATTGTCAGAAAAGTAGACTGCAAATTAGAAAAAGTTGGAGAATCCAAAGCGCTTCACTGCTAAGTGAGGGAAAGCTTCCTTTCCAATCCCATACTCCAGCCATCCTTCAACATCGACTCATTTGTCAGCACTTAATAATTTCTCTCCCTAGTTAAGTGCTAAATTGCAGCATAGCAAATGTGAAAGGGCTTGTCTGGCCAGTCCAAGCATTTGTTCCTGGGAAGGTACCAGGAAGAAAGGTCAAGTGCAGACACTTCATGGAGGACCTCAAAAATCATTGGAGTATGCAAGCCTCACCCTTAGGCGGTGAGTTCCACAAGGTGGAGGCAGAAAGCGAAGCCCGTGGTAAGCTGGGAACCAGGAGCACAACCCAGGCACCCCAAACCTCAGGCCTGCACTGTAGCTCGTACCCATGTGAACCAATTAATAAGCTTGGTGCCATCAGGATCCACGTTTCTTACTTCCCAACAGAAACAATCCTAAGTTTTCTGAAAGAGAAGAAACGTAGAGCTGCAACACCTAACTTCAGTCAGTCACATCCATCATCGGTTTTGGATCTGCACCAAATCCTTGGGGGAAAAAATAAAAAGCACCAGCTTTGAGCAAAGTATTACATTATAAAATCTACAGGGAGATGTTCACTCTAAAATAGCCAACTCAGAAAAGGACGTTCAGGAGAATCAATTTGCCAGAGAAACTGATTTAATCAGACTGATCCAGGGATAAATGAGGTCTAAATGTTTCACAGGCAGAGGGGAAAAGCTTGTTTTCTGTTTGAGACCTAAATTACCATCCAGTGACTTGCAGGCTTTAGTTTCTCCAGCTATAAGCTCGTCACTGAGGCAGACACAAGTAGTAACACATCAGTCAAGGGTAAAATTCCATGAGGCACGTTCACTCTTCTGCCTTCACCCTACATTTCTGGAAGGAAACTCCCCTTTCCTTCCTCTATGCACCCATCACAGCTGCCTCAAACCACTGACCCCAACGCATAGCACTTTTGTTCCTTGCAAGAAAACAGCTTGGAGAGTTCTGCAAATAATGAAAGAGAAAAGTAGGGCAGCCTTTCCCAAGCACGAAATCTGCAGAGACGTGACATCAGACACTCTCATCTGCAAAGGACAGGGCCGTGGCAGGTGCCCCCGGTGCTGAGCCAAGGCTGGCCTAAAAGACCAGACACACTCACCACTCATCTACAACCCTTACTGAACCATTTGCTCAACTGGCCTGGAACAAATACAGCTGCAAGGGAGAATTTACATGTGTGGCAATTCAAGTTTCAATTAGCTGAGGAAATGGGTCCTGGGAGATCAAATTAGTTTGCGGCAGCAGGAAGATAGTTAATTCAGCATGCTCAGACAAGCAATTATTTCTCTCCCTAAATACCACTTTCTCCATGCATTGATGCCTCTCTCTCTCTGCACTGACCCACAGCTGTATCTTGTAATATCATTTGTGACAGTGTTTTAGAAGCAGTTCTGCAGAGAGAATAATCTGGGTTTGCTTTAGTTGAGCTCGCAGAAGAACAAGCCCAGAGACAGGTGCCGGAGGGTTGTTGGGAGCACCCATGGGATCGGAAAAGCAGGCCACAGCCCGGAACAGTGGCTGCACACAGCCTTAGTGCCAAGCCCCTGCTGCCTGAACATTTCATGACCCAGGCAGGAAACGGAAGAGCTACAACAGGAAATGCCTGTTTTAAAAAAATAAAAAAATCAGGAAACATATTTTTACTGAGAGCAACTGAGCGCTGGCACAGGTTGCCCAGAGAGGTTGTAGAGTCTCCACCCTTGGAGATACTCGAAAGCTGTTGGGACCGTCACAGTCCTGGGCAGCCTGCTCAAGGTGGCCGTGCTTGAGCAGGGGGTTAGTCCCTTCCAACCTCAGTGTGGTGGGTTTGTATGGTGGGGTTTTTGGTAGCGGTGAAGGGGCTACAGCGGTGGGTCCTGTGAGAAGCTGCTGGAAGCTTCCCCAGCTCCAAGTCAGACCCACCTCTGGCCAGAGCCAAGCCAGTCAGCACCTCTGGGACAAACACGTTTAAGAAGGGACAAAGAAACTTGCGCTGTGCAGGACTTGCAGCAGAGAGAAGGGGGAAGGTGGGGGCGACTATCTGTGCTGGGTTGCATCTTCCCCCACCCCGGGCTGGTGAGAGGCAGCAGCCGTAGCTTAGAGAGCTCTGAAGTGCCCCGCTCTCAGGGCACTCGCTGGGTAGAGTTCATTCTGCTGGGACTGCCAAGGTTCATCGGGCCAGTTGGGCTCTGCATGGCTGCAGTGGAGAGAGGACTGAGATGTGAGAAAAATGGCCACACAGATACCAGGTCAGTGAAGACGGAGCGGAAAGGGCAGGAAAGGGACTTAGCCAAGCTGTTCTTGCTGACGTCACTGTCAAGAACATAAGCTGCTTCCCCAGCAGGCAGAGGGAAGTTCTCAACTTTCGCATTTTTTGGCATTGACCTCAGCATTTGGGAAGAAACTGCTCCTGTATAAGGTCCAAAGAATGAGGGTTGTTTGGATCATGATGGCACCTACAGGCCATATGAAAATTCAGATCCAAATTAAAAATCTTTTCCTTGCACTCCCATTTCACTAGTTTGGCAGTAAAAATTCCAGAGCCATCTACACCAGCTGACCTGGGCAGAAAAGACTTGGGTTCTTGTAAAAATAAGCAGAGAAGACATCTTCACAGGGACAAAGTTCAGTTATGCTTTGTGGTTTTTATTTTAATCACAGCCCATTTGCAGGGGTGAAATGGAATTCTCCTATACTCTAAGGGAATCGGTGTCAAAAATAAAAATCCTTATCTTTTTACTTCTTGTCTCCCACTCACAGGAATCACAGAATGAGTGGAAATGCTAGTCACATGCACCATGACAATGTTCAGCCCACTATTTCCAAGTCTGGTATGGTAATTTTATCCAGCAGTTCATTGCAATAAACAAATGCATGGTTTAGGCTTGTATTTTATTAGGGAAAAGAAAAATTCACTCAACTTACTGAGAGCAGTCAGGCAGGCTCCTCAAGTTATTAAAAATGTCTTGCAGAACTTGCCTATTATCCGATTAGGGCAAATTACATGGTTAAACTGACGTCGGGAAGAAATACCTAGTAGGCAAGCAGTAGTTCTTTAGGAAACTGATTTGCTTTGGGCTTGCTTAACATTTTAGCCTGCTACTAATTCTAAACTTCAGCCTGTGCTGCTCTGACAGCAACGACTTCCACAGTTTAAAAGGGGCCTCTGCATGCAGAGCAAAGGAGCATGCTGGTTGAGCTCAGGACACTCTCTCCGTATCCCTCTGTGCTAGATATGAAGATCCTGCATTTTTGCACTTTCGCATTGTTAAAGATGCAAGACAACCAACGAGCAATTAAGATTTATTCTTATGAAGGAGAAACGTCAGCACACAATACATCTTATTTGATTTGTATCCCATGAACAGCACTGCAGCTCCAGGAACTTAAAACACACTGAATGGTCGGTTGTATTTACCCTCTTGAATAAGCTTCTCTTTATAATCCTGTGGAAGAAAGAGAACGTACATCATTATCCTGTTAGAGAGGAAGTCTCAATCAGCCTGGGATGAGAGAAAACCAGCCCTGGGATTTCAGCATGGACTACAGGAAGACACCACCAACCTAAATGATTCTGTAAGCACAAACTCTGGTAACAGCCGTTGTGGTTACAAGGTAAGAAAGAACAAGGCATTAGCCTCACCTCCCAGCTAGGGAAGACGTGCTCAGATTGACCTCTCTGCACCTCTGTCAACACCCACGGGTCAGCAGAGACCAACTCCTGTGATGTACTGTTCACCAAACTAGTTGTGTCAGTTGATTCATACATTTAGTTTCTACCTCCTCCTTCTGGCTGAATAATCCAGCTTAGAGATCTAATTATGGAGAAACTTCTTAATAACTTGCCTAAATGTGCCTCTGTTCGTTTTCAGCCCATTTGTATCTCGCTCTGCAGTCATGTACCTTTCTGACAGGTATTGTTACAGTACACAGATGCTGCAGATATTGCCCAGACTCCTTCTGCTGGATAAAACCAGAAGACTTGCTTAAGACTTAGCAATTTATCTTTTGCTTTCCCAGACACACAACAAACGCTCCTCAGAGAAAAATCCCCCAATATCACTACAGGAGCTGGAATAAAGGACAACAAATTGTCCTGGAAACTACATTAAAGACTTCAGCTTAAATGTTCCCAGGCACGTACGTCTAGATTTCACTCACACAGGTTTGTTTTCAAGCACTTACACACTCAGACATACTCGGTGGCTAAGCCCAAGTGTGACTTCATGTACAAAACCAAACCAGCATGACAAAATACTGTAGCGATGCTGAAGTCTCAAAAACATCTGTATTAACATGCCTAGTGTGTTTCCTAAAACCTGTATTTTTGATTCATCCCTACAAATATTCTATTGATTTTAGTTGATGTTTGTGCTTCTGTTTATGACGTGATCTAAAAATGCTACTTCTGTGCAAAAGAGGGAAATAAAAGTGTTTTACAATAGCCACAAATTCACTAGTAAAACCAGCCACTGCCTGCCTGTCGCCTACCATTTTCTTATGTATATAGCTGAGTACTTTCAGAACGATCCGACACTACTCGGATTCTGACGTCCACATTTCAGAGTGAGAACAGAAGCAGATAAACCTTCCAAAATCTTTAAAAATCCAGCTGAGATCAGGCACTGTCATCAGCATAAGTACTCTTCCCCATTTGCTTCACGAGATCAGAAAAATAGTTAAGCAATCACAGAGACCTTGCTAGGTCTGTCATCCATAAGCTCCCTATCTGTTTATTTTAGGAAGCACAGCTACTGCATGTCAACGGCTGAAAATAATAGTCTAATTTACACCATCAGTGCTACAGAGAGCTTTATTATAGCATAATATCCTGATCAGGGAAACTGACTCAGCCATTCTCACAGGTACAACACAGGGTTCTTGGCACAGAAAGGCTTTGTAACCAGTTATGAGGCTTTGAGATAGCAGGCTTAGCATCAGCCTTCCCTCCCTCGTTACTTTAATGGTATTAATCACTCTTAGGTGGAAGAGGATCCTACCAACGAAGTCTCCAGGCAGATCCACACTTTACAATGCGTAAGCGTTGTTAATGATGTTCAGCGCTGCCAGCTGACCTACCCTCTCAGCTTTGAAGACAGCAATCCAGAAGAGCAGAGGGCCTATGGCGAAAACGGCTCCTAGGAAGGACGTCTTGGGCGTGGGGCGGAAGGTAGGGTAGACGTTCTGCGTCCTGGCATAGGCCCAGCGGAGCAAGGCGGGATCTTCCTGCGTTGGAAAGAACACCACAGTGAACCACCCTGAGCCGCGCACCGGCCTGCGCGGCCTGCGGCGGTCCCGGCCCGCGGCGAAACGGGCGCCAAGGTCGCGGGGAGGGCAGCTC